ACTGAGGCTTATCTTACCTATCTACGACCAGCTTTAGTGACTTTACTAAGTATTCAAAACAACCACAGCTATATCTCCTTAATGAACCTTTACCAGATGTGCGTGCAACTTACGATTTGACTGACTAATGTCTTATTTTACCAGCTAGTAATCATGTTTTTAATATTCAGGTCACACTTTGGTATTTTCGCTTTGGATCACTGTGCATCTGGCATTTTGAAATGGCAACATTCATACAGTTCCCAATCCTAGGAAACGTCAACAAGGTTTAGAAATACGTCTGACAGGCCTTCACAAGTATGTGTTATTCCCATCCTATACTTTATTACAAAACCATTCTATGTCGTGGATTCCTTTGCTTTAAAAGGTAACTGTTCTTAGTATGCATCCCTGAAACTGCCACATCGTAAACTTTATGAGCCAGTTTTAATAACTGAATCACAGAAAAATGAAATTTATTTATTTGTGCATTCAGTTAACAATTCGGCTTCACAGAGTCTTATTATGCTATGAAATGAACATAATGTAGCTGAGAAAAATGAGTCCACATTAATCAAAACAAGCAGTTGCCTCAGGTAGCTTGATCTGGGGGCTCTAGCAAGGTAGCCAACTGTTGAATTTGTTTAATTTACTTGCTGCAACTTGCTATATATGAAAGGGGCACAATTACAACAAAGAAACGCTTAATATAAAATGTCATAGTTACATCTGTGCTTACTGATGTTTTATTTTTAATTATATAGAATATAAAGTGCACTCAACTTGCCTTAAATGTATCTATGTGTTCAATACATGTGAAATGCAGGCTGCACAAAGTGCTTGCTAGTACCTGTGTTAGGGTCAGTGGAAGTGGGCTTTTGTTTGCACCAGCCAAGTTTTGATTTTCTATATAAGTCTATAGGAATGTAAAACCTACATGAAGCAGGTCAAATGACGGTTGGGAGGGTCCAAATGCAGGTCAAATGGATCTGTCAAGGAATTATAAAAAATCTCACAAGCATCTCAAACTGATGTCAAAATGATCCCATTGACACAAATGCAAAGACCGTCAACATGAGTCCTTTGCCTTAAGATGAACCCCTTTGTCCCAGTAGAGCCTCTTGGATCCTACATGTAAGCTGTACGCAGGGCCTCGATTTCTCTTGAAGTAGAGCCTAAGCCCTGACCTTCTTAATACTAAACCCTGCCCCTATAGGCATTAAGCCTTTCTCCATGTCATTAAAGTAGAGGTTCTGGCATTTAATAGTTAAAAATGAGAGCTGCAGTTTAGAAAGAAAGTGGGGCAAACCATTGACTTGGAAAGAAGTCAACATCTTGAGTACTGCAGGATCCAAGTATGAGGAACACAGGGACTGATGTGAAGATTAACAAAACAGTTTGTAGGCATCACAAAGTACTACTATTGTTACTTCAGATTATTTAGGACAAGTTTAAGATTACTTTAATGTATCACTTTTGGATAAAGTTGGGAAGGATTAGAAAGTCTGTTGGGTTTTGTTGTTGTCTGTTAGTGGGGCAGGACGTGCAGGTAAGTCACTCCATTGGGGACACAAACAACAATAAAACCTTTTTTCAGAAGAGTAAGAAAGGGTTGAAACCAATGCTATTGTATGTTCTTGCCCCTACCCCCATTTTATCCAAAACTATGTTCCCTTGTTAAACTTAGTGTTGTTTTTTGCAGCTAGGCTGTAATCAGCCTGAGCATTGTTTATGCTTTCTGTGCTATTTTTTTAAGTATTGTGTACCCCTAACTTTCTCTCCAGAGTTAATGAGCAAGTAAAACCATAAAAAGACTAAAGTGACTAGAACCTAAGTTTGTTACCCCACAATAAGCCAAGTATTACATGCTGAGAAATTGAATGTTAGCCTGCTACACCATCTTGGGGGTCATCTTTAACCATATAACAACCATATAACCATGTTAAAACAGTTCTGGATGAGCTTAGAATTTAAAAGGATCAGTGAAGACACAGTGGAAGCAGTTTGTAAAACAATAGAGTTCACAGACCTAGACAGTTGAGACCTTTGTTTTCTTACAGCTTGGTGTGGGGGCAATTCACAAAAGTGTGCCCCAAATATGGCATTGTACACAGAAAAACATAAGAAGAACATGCTGGAAAAAAATATTAGTGTTCTTTTAAAAACTAAATGGTGTTTATCAGAGTTGTTGTAGAGACTTGATAGCAGGGCTGCAGAAAAAAAATGCATCTACCAAGAAGGAGTTGAGAAATTAGAAAAATAATAGCAAATAGTAAAAATGGAGCAATACATAAGGTGAGATAATGTTCCACAGCCGTGCCAGTTCCCTTAACTGAGCTGAGCCACCATATAATGATCATGGTAATAACAGTATATTTTGTTATAATGAGAGTGATAAATCACAGCTGTGACTTGTTTCTTAGGTGTCTCACCATGTCAGTAACTAACATAAATACCTTCCAAGACTTAATAAAGATCTTATTAGTGATATAATTTATTCTATTCTTCTCCAGAAGAGGTCTCACATCACTGAACAGATTTAACTGTCCAGTAGCACCAAGTGAAAACGCAGGACATCATGGGAGAACAACATTACTTCAACTCTGTGGGAACAGCCAATATTTCGTTCATGTGTTGCTGAACATCTTTTAGAGTAGGAAGGCAGATGTTGGGTGTACACTGGTATTTCTGTTTATTTATAACTTTAATAACAAAAATAGACACTTTGGGGTTGATTTACTAACCTTATAAACACACCACGAACATGTATACACCTCTGTAGTGTGTTCCCTCCCAGCATGATCTATGGGTGGAATCTAAACCCCTTTGTAGTGTGTACACACCCAGCAGGTGTGTTGTGCAAAGCCCTGCATGAATTTGCAAGGTGATGTTGTGTAAATTAGCTCTATGTTGTGTTGCTTGCGTTGATGAATGCAGGAATGTAAATGCATGAGCTAACCATTTTTGTCTAAACTGTGAAGCAGCATTATATATGCATCATGTGCATGATTTTTCCATATATGGCATTAGTAGAAATATGCTTTTAGAGACTTTTTGGTTGATAAATACGTTTTGCTGTGTAAAAATCACACGCACCTAGTGCGTGCGTGTGTTTAGGTTAGTAAATCACCCCCTTTGTGATGATAATGATAATCTCTGCTTATTTGTGTTTTTCCAGTGAAGCCTCAGTTTAGGAAAGGATCTGTAAAATGCTATGGGCCTCTGTAGAGGAGAAGGGGTAGACACAAATTCTCTGACTAATCAACTCAATGACACTGCACTGGCAGGAATAGGATTAAACTGAGCCTATTCCTAAGATTTACATTGTTTATTCTGAATGTGGTCAGGAAAGTTAGTCGAACCTGCCAGCTTGGTTCAAAATGTTTAATTAAATGTAATCCCTTGTGCATATATAACAGTACACATTCATGATAGCCATCTGCACAGTACACACTCTGTACAGTACACGTCTGCTGCTAATGTACAAAACCAGAGTATCACATCTACTTTGAACCAAAAGCTGCTGACAGGTGTGAAGTGTCGAGCATCCAAAGCTTGAATATAGCAGCAGCTTTCAGTAGCTCCCCTTTTTCCCTACTTGACTCAAAAGAGAAATATGAGGTAACCTTTTTATCCCATAGTTCTCTTTAGGGTCACGGGAGGACATAAACTAACCTCCTCCCGTGACCCAAAGCTCAGTATATAGCGGGCTATACAGCCAAGTTTAGGAATTTAAAAACCAGAGACATTTCCCCTAACCAGTTCAGTATTTGAAATGAACATATTATGGTGCACTGAAAATGACTCCATTAGTATTTTAGACTCTTACTGTCTATGAGTCTAATCTCTGGTGTACTTATTAAGAAGCTGTGTCTAGTTTTCAAAGTTTATGTCAAGCAAACTTTACTGTAAATTGATAAATAATAAGCTGTCTTTATTTGAAAAAGTTATTAATCTTTATCTGCATTGTCCCTCTTTTGTAATGAATTCTATATTTAGGTGGTGAAGAGTGAATTAAGAGATTATTGGCTTTCCTACGGAGCATAGGGATTATATTAACAGTGATCGTAAATCATTTGAAGTTTCTCAAAGAAATCTGGAATTTCCATAACCAGTGGAGAAGTGTACATATTGGATTGTATAAAACTTCAATACTGAACGCCTCCCAAAGTAAACAAAATGTCCTTTCACAGCCCTTCCCTAAAATCTTATTGGATTGTTAATGAGGAATTCCACTGTGTTAACTCCTTCGGCAGATATGGTCAGGTCATTTACTACAGAAAAGTAACTGACACATACATCAGCACTCATGTGACAAACATGTCAAGCAGTGATGTCAACTTTTTCAAAAGACTGTACCATATATAGGTGAATACAATATTTATGACAATAAGATATGTATAAGCCCATACATATAGATCATGTACAATACAGTATTATGAATGTTGACTATATCTGGTATAAGTGTGACAAGTAAGAGTCTTGTTAAATTGTAAAGACAACTGATTATATAAAATAGATGCAGTATAATGATTATGAAAATGAAAATCGATTATGCGTAGCAATCAGTACTTAAAAAGCTACCAAACAAATGAATGATAAGTCATTAATTGATTAGTATTTCCTCCTCCATGTAACAAATTCCTGTGAACACACATACCAAGAATGCACAATGAACTCTTACTTCAAGGAAGCAAATTGCTTTTTGGGGATTGGGGTTTTGCAGAGTTCTACAGTTATACCCAACAACATCCAGGTTGTTTCCTGATTCTGTGGAGTTAAGCTGGATTGAGAACAATTATCTAATGAGTTTGGGTATTTGTCACTCAACTCCCTCACTGTGTAGGATTCTCTATTAAGCTATTTCCTTACTGCTTACGCTGTAGCTGTCTGGAATATATGTCTCTATAATAATATCTGTCTATCTATAATGTTAAAATAAATGAAAAGCCAGCACTTTTATATGTGTTATTATTTTCACAGACAGAGTGGATTAGGTTATATAATTGTTCTTTACTCACCAAGATGTGTGTCAGTTGAATAGTTATGAGTGGAGATCCAGAAAGATTTTGACACAGGTACGGAGGTGGCTCTACCTTCAAAGAAATTATATAACTGGCTGCTGAGATCATGTAATCATTGTACTGTTTTGCCCCTGAAATTCTAAAAGAGAAGAAGAGAAGAATCAATGTTGATCCTCAATAGAGACTACAGCATCAGTCAATTTTTTCTCTCTACTCATTAAGCTCAACAAAAGTGCAAAAGTGTTTTCATACAGGTAGTTAGTGTCCAAAGATCCATTACACTCAAACTTGATATTTAGTTTTGGAAATGTTGGTGACACCTACTAGGTCTTTGATTTCCCATGGACTCTGTTGGAAAGATTTTTTTTTTATTGTGGTGCAAGCAACAGGTATAGTAAGCTTGTCGTCTTATAGCAAAAGGAGCAGAAAGCAAAGTCCAATGCATATTAAAATAAAGTTAGAGTAATAAAACCCATCATCAGGGATTTCATTAATTGACATCTACCATAAACTAAATCATTAGTAATAGTAAAATAACCATTTTGGAAAATATTTTTTTTAAATGCCAAAATTCAGGTTTGCATGATCTAAAAATAAGGTTCCCTAGAAAATCCTAATGTAAAACCTGACCATTTTAAAGTTTGAAAATTGATACCACAGATGTAAAACAGGTACTTAAAGTTACTTGCATGTACTTTTACATAGCTTTTGAAGCACCCTAAGAGCTCAAACAAGGATTAACACAAATTTTGGGCCCTGTCTACTCTGCTTTTACACCTCACTATTAGTCTGTAACGCTATCTAACATAGTGACAAACCGATAGTGAAGCCCAGGAGCAGAGAGGAGGCTTAGCCAAGCACAGCTTCAGTTCCGGTAGTTGTTTGCATGTTAAAGCTGTCCAAGATTTAACACCTTTATGTCCTCTGCAAGTTATGTGAACACATCAACTTCAAATAACTTATTTACATCTCTGCCATCAATTGAGCAATTCCAAAGTGAACACAAGTAGGGCCTTGATTTCCCACAAAGCCAACCAAGGCCCGGCCTTGGGGCAGCAGGGAGTAGAGGGGCAGCAGGTGTGGAATTCCTATCTCCTGATGCCCAGGCGCATAGTTGTTTTCTACATTTAGCCCTGCGTTGGGCAAGCAGAGCTAAATGTACACCGGGGAAGCTGCCGCTTGTTTTGTACAAGTGATCTCTGCGACATTGTATGCAGCCTGCAGGTCTGCCATTCTCCATGCCCCCCCTCCCATTAAGAATGGCAGACCTGCAGGCTGCATACAATGTCAGGTGGCGGGTAGGGGGGTGCATTGAGGAACCTGGCCTTGGGGCAGCAGAGAGAGTAAATCCAGCCGTGAACACAAAGAAATCAGCCATGTTTGTTCAGTTCCTAGGCCTGTGTTAATGACAACTGTTTTTCCTATGCTATAACCCGCCTTCATATCGCAATATTAGGCATGTTTGCACCAAAACATTATCACTGTAACATCCACATTACATAAATGATTTCTTCAATTCTGAAAACTTGGTGACTCAGTTTAACAGAGACAGAGACATTTCACAAAGCTGTTTTTCCTCTTGCTTGGATATTATTTCCTTAATACTAGAGCTATCCACCTCCTATCTCTTAATTCTCAGTTCACAAAGACGCATAACATGCTTTATTAAGTATATTTTGTATGTAATCGTTTTTTACCACTTCTAGTGTTATTATAGCACTGTTGGTGTTTTTTTTTTTTTATTGGCCCTCTTTACAAAGATTACCACTCAAGTTATATCTCCTCACAATAACAACAGCTTCAGGGAGGTCATAACTGGTAGTCTCAATAGCTGTCTATGAAGGACAGAACAAAAAAGCAATTGAAGTGGTAATAAAGTAAAACTGCACAACATAAAAATAACAATTGATGGGGAAATAGGACCTTTAACAGATACATGTTCATTTCAGGTGGAAAATAGTACAATAAGGGTACACATCTTTGTTATTTTGTTAGTGTTAGTTTGTCAATTAAAGGTGAACTCTAGGCAGATATAAAATATGCTCATTACTGCAACTCTTTATTTATTATTAGACAGGGCTCAGACCAGGTGAAGAAAAAGCAGGACAAGGAGCCAGCCAGTTGTGCTACAGAGCAAGGAGCATATGAATACAATCAAGCACAGTGAGAGGGAGCTGTGTTCATCAGTCTGCTGCTTCTTTTTTTACTTCCAAATCACTGATAAGAGATAGAGAAATGACTTACATGTGTTGCTGAACGGCAACAGAGAAAAATCAGGTCCCCTTTCACTGTGCTGTGGGCAGAGCTGTGTAAAACTCAGGACTGGATGGACAGAAATACAAACAGTTTGGCAGGTAAAGCAGCTCCCATTTATCTAATTGCTCTATGTATTTAGCTGTTTGCCTGGAGTTCAACTTTAAACGTTTTTAGGAGAAAATCATCAGGAGACAAAATGAGTGGTCTCATCCATCTTACTGAATTAAACGTATTGCATTATCTGTCAATATGAAATGTTAATTATTTTACACTACAGTTTAACAAGACAATGTACTAATCGTCATTTTTCTGGCACACAGAGGGTTATACATGTAATTCCTTTGATAAAACGGGTGATGAATGACTTCATGTAGCTCAGAGCCGGATCACACAGCCATTCCATTTTTGGACTCAGGATCTGTGATATGCCCACGAAAGGCAGCACTGCACGATCCTTCAGATCTGCAAAATGTAAAATAACAAAAGTGGCTGCACCAGTGTAATCTATATTTGTCATGGAGCATGCATACAAGCATGGGTACACGGGGGAACACGGATAGGAAGGTTGTACCGTCCTCAGAAAATGAAATAATGATAAGCAGGTAATTGAAGTGTCGAAAAAACGAATTACGGATTCCCCATGCGGTAAAGTTAGCATTCCTGAGCTGAAGAATAATAGGAACGGGGTAGATCACTAGCCTAGAATAGTTTTAAATTGTGTGCAAAGCTATATTATATATCAACCAGAGATTTCCGGGGAAATGTTTAGTTTTGCAGGAGGGGAAAAAAAGGCACTAAATAAAACCAGAAAGTGTTTAACCTACTTCACCCTGTTACACTAAGTAGACACATATATAAATAGAGACTGGACAACAGCCTGCCCTGTCAAGACATGACAATATGCAGAAATCAAATGGGAGCTCACGGAAACCATTGCCAATCATAAATTCCAGAAGAGATAAAAATATGATGGTTAACAACACTGTTACTGCAAAACTGCCATGTTTTATTTCTATGGCTAATTCTTTGTCTTCCATAATTTGAAACTGCACAAACAACAGTTGCTTGTGAGTGTTTTCTTCTAGCTGAAGGCCAATTTATTTTACATTATTTAAAGTGTGTAGTATATAAAGTCTATATTTTTTTGAAATGATAAAATTTCCGAGAATGACTGTTAACTCGCAAGTAAACCTCTGTGTGAAGGCTGTGTTTTTGCCCTAATCGCCACTGTTCCCCTTCGCCACTATTTCTATCACCGACACTTCTGGTTTCCATGTGCTTCCTCTTTGGCCATTGGGTGACCACTTAAGATGTAACTCCCACGCATGTGCACAGGAGTTACCTCCTCCCTGTCACATACCTTAGGGGAAGCATGAGATGACGAGGGTGGCCTCTCCAGTCCAATAACCCCTGGAGGGTGGAACAGGTGCTCAAGGACAAAGAGTGGCATGGGTGCTGGAAGATAGCGTAGTCACCATGAATGCTGGGATCAGTAGTGCAGACAGAAGGTAAAGAGTAGAGATCTTTGATAGCGAGGTCCAGGTCAAGCCAAGTCAACAACAATCAGGCAATAAGGTACCAGAACAGCAGACAAAATGTAGTCAGGGACAGGCCAGGTTGATAACTTGTGGGCAGCGAAGTCAAGAACCAGCCATGGTCAAGGGTACAGAACAGCAATCGGAAGGGCAAGGCAAGTCGGTTCGGTAATGAGAGATCACAGTCAGGATACCGGAAACAGGAACTTCAACAGCAAGGTACAGATGAAGATCACTCAGCATGGAAGCTAAGATGTCTCATCCTTAAATAGCCCATTTGGCACCATAGTCTGTGCATGAACACGTGTCAGGGTTTCTTACCCTTCCTCGTCCAGTTGAGCTGCAGCATGGCTGGTGTGCAGTGTGTCTGACACTGTTTGTTCCTTTTTGGCACCCTCTTATGACCAAATTCATCATACATCATTGTTCGGCTAGTGGAAAACTCTTGCAAATTCTTGTCTCAGCGTGATGATGCAACACCAGTTCACTATTAAACCTTCCACTGGTCCATTTAGTCTCCACCCTTACATGTGTTTAGATCTACCAAGTGATCTGCTGTTGTTCCTGTTCTCTGTGTATGACCCTGGCTCTGGCTGACTGCTCTCCTGGTTCCTGACTCTGGCTTTGTTTCTATTGATTCTGCTCTCTGTGTTCCAGGAGCTGGTTTGGCTGAGTACCTGCTTTGGCATCTGACCTCTGGCTTGGCATCAACAATATCCTTGCCATTTTTCTTTATTGTTACTTTCAATAAACTTTTATTTTTAAGCTGCACTTTAGTTACTGTCTGGTTTTTTGGTTCCCTGACAACACGTCCGCGTGTTGAGACAATGCACAATTGTATGCACCAAACTGTGCCCATGCACATGAGCAGGCACTTGATTCTGGCTTCCTAAAACAGCTCGATGCATTGCTAATTCACTGCATCTTAGAAATGCCGTGAATGGGCTGAGTGTGTACACTGCACAAAGTGGCGCAAGTTTGTTTAGGGAAAAAAGATTTAGCAGGGACTTGTCTCTTCTGGCAAAAATCCCTTCCTTCTCTGCAAATTTTTATATTTCTGGCTTTAAAAATTGAACTAGAGCCAGAACGTTTTTGAGAACAAGGAAGGGATATAACCAGCGTCTGCTTTTATTGCCATCTGTGTCTCTTTGGAGCAATTTTCCTTCACTTCTGTCCAATAGCCACAACAGGATGTGAAAGGAAATCCCTCCATGAGACAGAAGTAACTGGAGTTCATCAGGGTTATCAAAACTAGTGCCCCCAATTAAAGATTTCCCATCTATTCCTGTTCTGATAACAACTCATAATTTGGGATTTTCTTTTATATTTATTTTCATTGGTAATGGTC